TCAACGACAAAGTCCCGTCCTGGGACCGCATCTGGCGACCCTCCCTCATCCTCCTTCTCCTTCCAGCTGCGCCGCCACCGCCATTGTCACAAACACCAATACCCTCACCAAAGACCGAAAAGGATCTTTTGGGCGCAAGACGTCTTTCAGCTCGCCCTCGAAAGCATCCAAGCGCCGCGCGAATAGCAGCTCAGGAGGCGGTTTCAATGTCATAGTCACCGACAGCAAAGTACCTCCCGCCCTGCCGGATTTTGCGCTCGCTGCTGCTGCCAAGATCTCGAAGGACACCGATGCCATACAAAACCCGGCAAGCGCCGACAGCTTTCTTCAAGATGCTCGGCAGAACGCCCACCGGACAGAGCAGCATGAACGACAGGCTGGCGGCGCCCCTCAGCGCCAACGCTGGCATGTGGGCTGGCAGCGAGGCTGCCGTTGTTCACCTCCAGATTCAAGAGCTCGCGAAGAAGCGCATGGCGACTCTGGAGTACCTGCGTAAAGCGTGAGTCGCCTTTGGATTTCGCCAACACGATAAACATGTGCGCATGTCTGCAATGCGACAGCAAAGCTAACGTACGAGATGACAGACACGAATCGCGTCTTTACTGGTTCAACACTGTCGTCTTCGAACGAAGCGACCTGCAACGATTCCCGTACTTCGATCCTCGAAAACTCGCGCGACGCGCCACGAACTATCTCCTTCTCGGCTTGTCGCTACCCACAGTCGCAGACCTCAACTCGAACACACCACTCGACTTTCTCCGCAGTCTCAACGTCCTTCTTCAAGAGTTCGAGTCCTTTCAACAATTGCACGGTGAGGCCGGTTCGTCGACAAGCTCGCTGTCACGCGCCCGGCTGCCGCAGATGTTTCGCCGGGGTCCCGTTGGCAAGTCGAGACGCAGCAATAGCGGCGCCAACGACATTGGCGTGCCCATGGATGACGCCATGAGCGGAGGAATCGGTGGCACGCAAAACGCAAACGTCGTCAACTTTGCGCATAGCGAAACAGACCTCTTGCCCGGCGAAGAGTACACGCTTCTTCTTACGCCAGCGCTGCCTTTTGAGCCCGATTACTTTGAGACGTTCGCGACGCTGTGCGACGTGCTTATTGACACATACACAAAATTACTCAGCCTGATGCCCACCCCTGCGGTCGCGACAGCGCCAGTGGGCGAGCTATTCGCCAAGGTCGATGGTAGGGTGCGCAAGATCATCGTCCAGGGTGCAGTAAAGGAGTTCGAGGACCAGAGCAGGGCTCACGCCAAAACAGAGATGGCGAACATCAGTAAAGTGGTGCTGGGAGGATTGATGTAAACGAGCCACGGGCGACTTTGATAGAAGGCTGGAGTCAACTGGCGTTAGACTTTTTTTTTTCTTTTGCTTTTCGAATACCACATGTCACACATGAGCCGTTCATTCAATTGAGAAGCTGATTCTTGCGATCGAACATGGCCACTCCATAGAGACCAGCCACAGCAGCCATGCATGCATGGTCTTCTCGCCGAGCAACTTATGGTACTCGAACAGCAAGACCCGTCAGTCCGAAACTAGGATAAATGACTGCGGAGATAACTAGATGAAGGGTGTTGTTGAAGTTCTTTCAGAAACCATAACGCAATGTTTTGTCGTCACAAGGGCGGCCATTCTTTGATGACTCCACCGTCAGTGCTTGACTCTATTGATATTCATCATGTAGAACTTCAACAACACACACTCCCTCAAAGCGGCCACGACTGCGCACCGCGAGAAGCATCGCTCATACTGGAGGAAGACTTCCTGCGAAGTCCCCAGAGAGATGGAAAATGTGAATCTCCAGACAAGCTGGCAACTCGCGGCAGAAACAGCCGTGACTGCAGTGAACCCCCCTCGCGCCAAGAATGAGCCCCATCGAGTACTCCAAGCTGGTGAGGCCAGGCGATCGCATATCTATCGTGCTCGACGAAAAACCCTCCCGGCCCCTTGACGCCCACAGCACGCATCGACACCCACGGCTACCCCGCCATCGAGCCGACCTTCCTCCCACGGAGGATCCGATCAAGCAGCCAAGAGCGCGGACTCATATCATCGTCCATGAGGTCTCAAGGCCACCTGACTAGACTCCAAGAGAGAAAGGTTGACCAATGTAGCGGCGGGGCAGGGCAGAGGAGGACAGACTGAGGACGGGGCCAGGAGGTCAGCCGCAGTGCTTCTGTGGCGGCGCGTTTCCGCAATGTCCTTCCGTGAGGAGAAGACGTGTCCGGGGACTTTCTCCCAAAGCAAGAGAATTCAGACGCTCAGAGAGTGTCTCTGTTTGTGAGCTTCGAATGGCGATCTGTTGGACGAGGGGGGTTGAAGAAGGGAAGAGATTCCATGGTTAGGTTGGTTGGTGAACTTTTTTTTTAAGGGCCTGCAGAAGGGACGTGCGTCTATCGGCAGAATCGGTGGGGTAGGTTCTCTTGGTTTTGTACCAACCTTAAGTCAGGCAGCCATGGACAGGCAGCCAGGTGGTGCCTGCTGGAGGGAATTGCGCTCTTTGATTGGCTCGCAATGAAGCTCTTTTCGACCAGCCTTGTCTGCCTTCACCTCGAGCTTCCTGGCCAGGAACGAAGGACGACGTATATCAAGGTCCCATCTGTGACGCGTTGCGCCTACCCACCTTCGCCCGCGTTACCCTTCCGATCTCGATGATCTGAACATTGCAACACTCAGACGAAAAAACCCAACCCTCGCCCAGGTCCATCGATCGGAACACAAGCCACAACACTTTCGACCGACACCATGTCTGGACTTTTCGGCAGCGCGTCGTCTTCGTCGGCCAGCAACACCGTCGGCGACCTTAAGTCGGATGTCGCCCTGAGCAACCCGCCCGAAGACACCGTCTCCGACCTTGCCTTTTCTCCCGCCACAAATCAGACCAACGACTTCCTCGCCATCTCCAGCTGGGACAAGAAGGTCAGGATATACGAGGTCACGGGCAACGGCCAGAGCGAAGGAAGGCACGCATACGATCACGAGGGACCCGTCTTCAACGTCGACTTTTCCAAGGTACATCTATCCTCCGTCGCGATCCCTCCATTGCGGAGGTTGCTGCCGGCCTAGCTGACTCGCAGTTCTGTAGGATGGCACAAAGGTCATTTCGGGCGGCGCAGACAAGGTTGTAAAGTGCTGCGACCTCGGCTCGCGGCAAGAAGTCAAGGTCGGCGAGCACGATCAGCCAGTGCGCAGCGTGCGCTTCTTCGAATCAAGCGGCAACCAGATGGTCGTGTCCGGCTCGTGGGACAAGACGGTCAAGTACTGGGATATGCGACAGCAGGCGCCCGCCGCGACGTTGCAGTGCCAGGACCGCGTCTACTCCCTCGACGTCAAGAACGACCTCCTCGTCATCGGCACGGCGGACCGCTACATCAACATTGTCAACCTCAAGAACCCCACGACCTTTTACAAGACGCTGCAGAGCCCTCTCAAGTGGCAGACGCGCGTCGTGAGCTGCTTCACCGACGCCGCTGGGTTTGCTATCGGCAGTATCGAGGGCGGTGCGCCATTCCAGTATGTCGAGGACAAGGACAGCAGGTACGTTACGATACTGGTTTTTCTTCCTCATTCATCTCACACCCAGGACTCCCCCCGCTGACGGGTCTTCCCACCAAAAGCCTAAACTTTTCATTCAAGTGCCACCGCGACCCGCCGCAGAACAACATCACCAACGTCTTTGCCGTCAACGACATCTCCTTCCACCCCGTGCACGGCACCTTCAGCACCGCCGGCTCGGACGGAACGTTCCACTTCTGGGACAAGGACGCCAAGCACCGCCTCAAGGGCTACCCCAACGTCGGCGGAAGCATCACGTCGACAAAGTTCAACAAGAACGGCTCCATCTTTGCCTACGCCGTGGGCTACGACTGGTCCAAGGGCTTCCAGCACAACACGCAACAGCTGCAGACCAAGGTCATGCTCCACCCTGTGCAGCAGGATGAGTGCAAGCCCAGGCCCACAATGAAGAAGCGGTAAGGGGCTGCAGTATGGCGGAATGGGCGTGATTGTATGACGGGGTCAGAAGACAGAGAGTGCAGCTACGGAAATGATTAGAATAGTCCTTCTCTGCTCTCTTTCTCTCTCTCTCTCTTGATCCACGTGCAGATGGGAGCTGAGAACGTTGCGGTGGTGTGATTTGAGAAGGGGCGCTTCTTCAGGAGCGTGTGATACCAAATGGCACGCATTGATCACACAGAAAAATAAAGGGTCATGTAATGAATTCGATAGCAAATGAGATTTCTGGAACAGTCCAGCTCGGAAGATTCCGTATAACGTCATGTTATTCATCGTCAAAAGTTCTAGCAGAAACAATGCCATGCTGCGTCAGGTGCGCGCATTGTGAAGCATTCTATTAAAGTAAGATGTGTGTGGGTACTGTTCGTGAAAAGTAAACTCCCCCTATTAAAGAACCCAACAGCTCATAACATCACGACATCCCCGGGTCGCATATCCCTCCGTGCGTGCTCGATGGGTCCAGAAAGATTCCTCCCCCCTTTCAACAGGGAGAGATGACAGAAAAGCCAAATGCCATTCGCACGTCACCGTCACCGTCCGCGTGACAAATCCAGTGCTTTCAGGAGCAGAGAGAGGTCTCGTCAGGCCTGGCTCTCCATGGTGCCCCAGAGATTCCTCAACATGCTCGACTCCCGCTCGACGGGTTCCGCGTCGTGAGCGAAGCGCAGCTCGACGCCATCGACGCCCATGCCCTCGACCTCGGTCAGCGCAGCGACGGGCAGGGCGTTGGCGGGGTCAGCGGCGACGACGCTGATCTCGGGCGTGAGAGGACGGGCCTCGGGCGCCTCGGGGCGGTGGCGGGCGAAGCTGTCGGGGAGCAGGGGCATGCGGGCGTAGAATGCGTCGGAGATGGCGGCGCCGACGGAGGAGGGGAAGGCGAAGAGGGTCGCGTCGATGGTGGGGGCGCCGGTGTAGGCTGTGGCGGCGGAGAGCGAGGAGAAGGTCTGCATGAGGGGGCGCGGGTGGGATTTGGAGGGTTGAGGCTGAGGGGTTGGGCGGTGGGTTGTGGTGATGGAGCGGGCGTGATGCTGGCGTTGTGTGTTAGATCAGAAGAGCTTCGTCCCTGGTAGGGCGAGGGCGACATACATCGGATTCCGGGCTCTTCTTGAGAAGCTCGGCGTACTTGGGCATCAGGACGGCGCCATGAGAGTAGTGGCTATCGATGAGGCCCCGGTTGGCGGCCGAGTTGATGGAACGGGTGAGCTTGGAGACGGGGGCGGTGATTCGGGACATAATTTGAATGATGTGAGTGCTGAAGATGGAACTATATTGGGTTTGTTGAATGGCAGAGCTGGGTAGGATTCGTGGTTGTTGAAGTGTGGCAGGTGGCGCGTGTGTGTGAGAAATCAAGATCAGTGGAAAGCAAAGGCAGGAGAAACCCGAGGCAGGCGGCGGGAGGGAAGGGTGCGGGTTGATATATCTTGAGGCGGGAGGTGGACGGCTTGGTGCGAGCTACTTGCTTCTGCTTTACATGGGTGACAGGGTGGGCGAGACCTTGACCCGGACCTCCGGTGCGGTGCGGAGGCGCAGGGGGTGGGGAGAGACATCGAACAACGCCCACTGCCGCCTCCCTGAAAGGTACCTGATCTGATCTGCCATGTACTAGGTCGATGGCAGAATGAGGCGGGATGAGGAGGCTTGCTTGGCCCACTGGGACCTGATCAACACACACACACGTGTACAGTACGTATCGACTCCATGTGCATCGTCCTTCTGCTTCTCGTGACGGACCCATTCCACGAAGGCATCTCCCGTCACTGTGCGAATGGATACGGAGCGCAACGAGATTCAGTGCAGCATAATGTGCTGATGTACTGAGGTGGTACTGGAGGAAGCAATATGCCACACGAATCAGGAGCTCGACGGATAAGTATGCTGCATGAGATGTGGTGGCATGGAACGCAGGCTCGCCTGTATCTGAACCACCACCTTGCTCTTCTTTCCAGCGGGAGGTAGAGAGGGAGGTAATGGGACGAGAATGCAGGCGTGATAACGAATTCCAGAAGGCGCATCATCTTGATGCGATATGCCCACCAACAGATAGACAGATAAACGTGCTCACGAGTGCGTGCGCACACACACACGCACTGTCTGCCTGCCTGCGTTTCGTAGCTCCATCATCCGGGCCCAGCAACCCCTATCCTCATCGCCTCAGCGACCCTCGCCTCAGCGATGATCGCCTGACCGCATTATTTCGATGTGAAATGAGGGGCTGTTGAGTCGTTGGTTTGGGGAGGGACCCCCTGCCGCTTGTTGCGGCGTTGTCAAGTCGAGTCCAGCACGCACCAGCCAGCACCAGCACGCGGCCAGGGGTCCTCACCAAACCAAACGTTGAGGAGCTTGGGCCACAAGGTGCGGGGCCCGGACCTGCCGCGGCGCCGGCACCTGGGGCGGTCAGATCTCTTTAGGTTTGGCCTGGATCCAACAACAACTCAACCTGTGGACTCGAGCCCACCTCAGCCCAGCCCCAATCCGTGGCGAGCAGTACCTCCTGTTGCCCATGCAGGCGCATGCGGGAAGCGAAGCACCTTGGCTCCCCAGTATGCATGCAGCAGGGCATCTTCGGCATGGGGAGACCAGAGAGAAGGGGGACCACGAGGTACAACACAATGCACCACACCACACCATAATGAGCGGCAAGACGGATGTGCTTCACCTCGATGCGTGCACTCGCTCACCGCCAGATCGAGGCTGTGTTTTCGAGCCGCCATGCACGAGGCACGGCAAGCACACCGTGAGAGTAGTTCATTTTCACCGATGGCCTGCCCGCCTGACGGATGAGATTGCGAAATCGGCCATTCTGGAATGTGGAAGTGTGAGTGGTGCCCGGTGCCCCTCTGGGGTTCATTATGAATCGTTGAGCCTCGACAAGGCCGGGCCAGAAGGTGGAGAGGTCGAGGGCGGGCCTGTATTGGTGACATACCATCGCTGTTGTTGACACAGTGATGCTATGCACTGTCTCGAACCCTGCCTCTGACTTGTTTCTCGCCTATCCATCTGCCCGCTCTGGCGCTTCAGTGCCTGGCAGAACAACATCAAGGGTCAAGACGGAGCCCTGCGTGGACCTCGCGCTCTCTCAAGTCATGCGGTCTTTCGTCAGTCGTCGACCAACAAGCAGCCTCAATGAAGGGACTGTGTTCGTTGATGCTATTTTCGGCGGGGGTTGGCAGGAAGCTCAGCCCTTGACCGGGCCATCACTGCCTTCACCACTGCCTTCCAGCCCCACCACGCTCCAGCACGGGCAGGGGACCCTCGAGGCACTGCTTCCAAGAGCAGCAGCACCTGTCGCATGGGCCCAAGGCCTCCGTCTCACGACCACACCCAATTGACTCGAGCCATTTCAGCTGGACTACCCTGCCCTTGACTCGCCCCTGGATCCATGCCAAGCATCGCCATCTCATCATCCTTGAGAAACTTGGCAATGCACCGGCGTGAGAGAGCCTCCGGAGAATCAAGGCAACACATCTACGGGCTCTTCATCTTTTTATAAGACGCCGAGTTTTCCAAAGAGCGAATACAACTGCCATTCCTATCGAGGGCAGTTGGAGGGGTCTCCCTCCTTCCCCGCCTCGGGGCAGTCTGGGGCCGTGTGAGCAGCTCAACGATAGTTCGCCTGTCGGCCAGCGACAAGCGATCAACGCGTGAAGGAGCTTCCCGTGAGCGAGTTGGTGATTCCTTCGTCTGCGCCTTGAATGCGTCTCGCGTTGTTCGCTCCTGGTTCAGAATGGTAGTGCCCTGTTCTTCTACCTCGCCTCGTTGCATCTGAACAGGCACAGCGGTTTCTCGGTTCGCCAAGAATCATCATAGCATGTTTGTATTCATAATTCGATCAACTAGCAATATCCCGCGCCTAGCCCCTTCGCCGCAGCACTAAGGAGGCTGCCATGTTTGTATCCTTCGCTCATCGCACTGCCCAGGGCACCGCCACAGGCGGACCCCTCAGCAGGGTCCCTACTGGGGCGGACATCGAGGGTACGCAGAGAGCCAGGCGTTCACGCGCAAACAAACCTGATTGCTAATCTATGTGGTTCGCCGGCAGCTACGCTTGGAGCGCGCATGGCATTGGGAAGCAAGGATGCCGCCAACGTCTTCCTCATCACAGGTGACCACGAGGCTTGGAATGGTCCATCGGATCAGACAGTACACACGATGCGATCTTGGGGTGTAACGACCGTGTCAGGCACGCTGGTCGAGGATCGAGCCCAAGCGGCGTTGAACCCGGGCCAGCAGAAGGAGAAGAAGAAGAGTCTGAGCAAGCTCTGGGGTCTGAGGCGACATTCGCCTGCACAAACCCAATTGCAGGCTCTCCTAGGTGCTGCTATTTTTCACTTTGCGGGCAGTGCAGTCGAGCTGCGGAGCGAGCTCGAAAAGCTGGCATCACTTGGCGTTTCGATGCAAGGCGAATCGAAGCCGATCGTCGTTTGGGAACCCAGCAACTTGTCTCTTGTACGAGTTGCAGCAGGCCCTACCACTCACGGACATTGCATCCTTCAGCCCCCCCTCATTGCAATGCTGTATGGTTCCGAGGGCGACGCAGACGAGGCTGCGATGTG